TGTGGGGGGAAGAGTGGGAAAGGGGTAGGTATTGGTGTGGTGGGGGCAGAGATTGGAGAGGAGTTGGGTGTCAGTATTGGGGAAGGGGTGTGAATGTCTGTGTGGGTGCAGTTGGGAAGGGGGTGAGTGTCAGTGTTGGGGGGCAGCGGAGAGGAAGGGTGTCAGAGTTGGGGGGCTGAAGTGAGGGAGGAGAGAGTGGGGAGGAGTTGAGTGTCGGTGTGGGGGAGGGGGTTGTAGTTAATGTGGCAGAGTGCAGAGGGGGTGGGTGCCAGTGTGTGGGAAATGGGAGGGAGGGAGTGTCAGTGTGGGGGCAATGGGGAGGGGGTATGAGTGTCAGTGTTGGAGGGGGGGTGTGGAGACGGCGTGAGTGTCAGTGTTCAGTGGGAGTGGAGAGGGAGGGTGTCACAGTTTTGGGGGGAGTGAGGGAAGGAGGGAGGGTGTCACAGTGTTGGGGGGGGAGTGAGGGGGGGAGGGTGTGACAGTGTGGGGGGGAGGGGGGGGGGTGGCATTGGGGGGGGGTTTATTGAGGGAGGGAGCGAGGGTGTCACAGTGAGGGATTGGAGTGAGGGAGGGAGGGTGTCAGTGTGGAGGGGGTAGTGAAGGAGGGAGGGTGTCACAGTCTGGGAAGGAGGGAGGGTGTCACAGTCTGGGAAGGACGGAGGGTGTCACAGTGTGGGGTTAGAGTGAGAGAGGGAGGGAGGGAGGGTGTCACAGTGTGGAGGGGGTAGTGAGGGAGGGAGGGATGGTGTCACAGTGAGGGAGGGAAGGTGTCACAGGGAGGGAGGATGTCACAGTGTGGGAAGGAGGGAGGGTGTCACTGTGTGGGGTTAGAGTGAGCGAGGGAGGGAGTGTGTCACAGTGTGGGCTTGGAGTGAGGGAGGGAGGGTGCCACAGTGTGGGCTTGGAGTGAGGGAGGGAGGGTGCCACAGTGTGGGCTTGGAGTGAGGGAGGGAGGGTGCCACAGTGTGCGGTGCTGGTAGTGAGGGAGCGAGGTTGTGAGAAGGGGTGGTCGGTATAGCTGCTGGGAAAGTAGGTAAATCAGGGAAATGTGAGGGAATGGTTGGTCTCAGTGTTGGAGGGAAAGGGTGAGAGAGGAGTGACCTGAATCAGTCAGGGGGACAGTGAGGAAACCGAGTCGGGAGATGAAAAAGGTGTGTTGGGAGGGGTCTCAGTGTGAGTAAAAAGAGAGAAAAAATCGTCTCATATTGGGAGAGACTAAAGGAGCAAAGGGGCCATTGTATTTCACAGACTGATGAATACATTCTTTATTATTCAAATCTTTAGTTGTTCTTTTGATTCGCACATCAACCATCAGTTGGTGCGAAGCAATTTTAGATAAATGTCGCCTCCTAGTGAGTTATAAGAATATTACTTTGCAGATATGAGAATTGACCTGGGTCAAAACCCAGCGTACAAAATTATGAAAATACAACTATTTAATCACTGAGAAACACAGACAGAAATTGCTGGCGAAACTTAACAGGTTTGACAGTATCTGTGGGGAGAAAGCATTTCTGAAGAAGGGTCTAAGCCTGAAACGTCAGCCTTCCTGCTCCTCTGATGCTGCTTGGCCTGCTGTGTTCCTCCAGCTCCACACTGTATTGACTCTGAATCCAGCATCTGCATTTCTTGCTACCTCACATAGTCAGATTACCGGGTCACTATTACATTGCTGCTTGTGGGATCTTTCTTCGTGCATACTGGCTTCTATTTTTCCTACATTACATCAATGCCTACTGTGAAATGTACATAATGCACAATAATATCAATAAACACAGACTATGGATACATGAGGTTATAACAGTGTAAATTATGTTGTGAATGAACCATGAGATATCTGTCTCAACGAAAAGCTGCTTTCTATGATATGTACATGAACTAACACACAGGGCAGCCTTCAGACCATATCATACCAGCCTTTGGCGCAAGAAACCATATCATCATGACAACAAGTGGGTATTAAAACCTAACGGTGGCAGCTTGTTAGTGGGAACTAATTGTATTCAAATGCTGAGAAGATGATCACAGTAGGTTTCTAAACAACTACTTGAATTCAGAGCTGACGTTGCAACAGCAACCAAAAGTGCTACAAGCCTGTACTGAAGCATTACCTGGGAAAAAAAAACACACTCTCGCTTTCAAAAAAAAGCATATTGACAACTGATCTGATTTTTAATACCGGAATATTTTAAATTAAGCCGTAGGACATCTCCAATCTAAGAAAACAGTCCTGGAGCAACACCGAAAAACTGGTTTATACATCAAAAAGGATTTACCTGTGTCTAGACACTGATCAATTTTGCCACCTTGTTTTCCAGAAATGGGGCAAAAATACAGGGTGCACATGACATCACTATTCACTTTTTCTTGGGAGGGGGGGCAACACCACCTACAGGTCCAAATCTGTGACTTACAAAGCAACAAGTACAAAAGAGAGAAGCAACAAGAGCAGAAGATATACTACAGTGCAATATAGATTCCTATTCTGATATTTTTACGAAGCATAAAGAGCATAATAAGGATGGAAAGCGAACACATAGCATGACATTCTGCCTGTATTTCAGTCCATAAGATTGCACACAATAAGCTAAATGCTTACATTAGATTACACTTCGTCTTTCAATGGCATTATCCACCTTCATGGTTGCTACAGATCATCAGAATGGACTCCTTTTGCACCTTTATTACAACACGAACTTCTATCTTTAGTCTGCCAGTGCGGACAGATGTGTTCCCCAGAGTCATAGTAACTAACAACTTTTAGAACACGTTTCTGTAGATCCTATTTCCACAGGTTCGCATTTGTGTTAACCATTAGTCATGATATATTCAAACAACATGTGGATCACACCATCGACAATCTACCATATTGTCTCTGCTCACAGATGACATCACAGTCCTTGGAGAGCTTAAACACAATCAGCTCATGACAGCAGCAAGGAAGCATTGTCTTGTTTCTCAAAAAAAATGTCAACTCAGCATGAGCCATGAGCCACTCAGCAAGAACCCAATTTCTTCAGGTCAAGCTACTTGTCAAACAGTATTAGGCCTGATCCTATCAAAATAGAAGGTGTCTACACCAGAAAAGAGAGATGGTTTATAAAGGAGTCTCAAGTTCTTTAACTTTGCATCTCAGCACTTTCTGATTTTTTTTTGTGACCAAGGTACCTTTTCCTTGAGTTCTTTTCCACAAAAGCACATCATATATGGCAGCAAGATCACCAGGATACTTTTCAATCTTTTAAATCCTTTATCATCCAGAAAGTGTTCTTCAATATTATGGCTCCTCCAAGCTCCCAGAAAGGTCTCAGAGCATGTCTATTACAGGACACCAAGCCTATTGTGTTTGGTTCAAAGAACTGTACGACAGCTCGGGTAAAATTCTCTACATTGAAAAAGAAAGAGAATGTTTCTATAATTTTTGGGATATAAGTTTCATATGTATCTCTTCAGCAAGCATTTCATTGTTCATACTAACCACAAACCATTTAAACTGTTCTATTGAAAACTCTGTCAAGTACACCTACATGACTTCAGATATTCGTGAAGATCTAAGGATATGATTCAGGATTTCAATACAAACCACATTCTCAAATGACTACTTACGAACTTCTTAGCCAAGTTCCAAGCCTACTAAGATCAAAATTGTTCCTTTAGACTTACAAATGGATATTATCGAACTTGAATTGGAAGATAATCTTAATGTTGAACTTAGACACTTTGAAGACTGCTGAGCAGAGCAGATTCAGCAACCAACAACTGCAGATCCAACTCAAAACAGGTCATCGTCGTCGTCATCATCACCAGAGAACCAAAAAAGAAATTTAACAGGTCCCAGAGCTCGTACTTTCTTTCTTGTCATTCAGAGGTGAACTGGGACTGGCTAAGAATGTAATCTTCAAAGACAAGCAAGTGGTCATTCCACAAGCTT